CTATTTATAGAGCCACCAAGGATCAAGCTCACCACGGATGCCAGTCTTATGGGATGGGGAACCCATCTTGGGTCTCAACTAGCACAAGGAACATGGTCTCCCGTAGAGAAACAGTACAGCATAAATTTGCTAGAATTAAGAGCAGTCAGATTAGTGCTAAGACATTTCCATCAGGAAGTGGCACAGAAACATGTATTAGTTCTAACAGACAATATGGCCACAAAGGCTCATTTGAACAGACAGGGAGGCACGTGATCCAAATCGCTCATGAACGAGACAGAAAGACTGATGGCATGAGCAGAGAGATACATACTGTCCATAAAGGCGGAACACATTTCAGGTTCCTTAAATCAACAGGCAGACTGGCTAAGCAGGGGGATCATAGATCAGTCGGAATGGAGATTGCACCCAAATCTATTTCTACAGATTGTAAACAGGTTCGGGACGCCTATGGTGGATCTGTTCGCCACGGAAAAGAATACACAACTCCCGAGGTGGTTCTCCAGATTTCCGACTCCAGGAGCGGAGGCTCTCAATGCTCTGCGAAGCCCTTGGCCTCGTGGGCTTCTATATGCATTTCCCCCCATTCCCATCATTCCACTGGTCATAAGGAAGATGATGATGGAAAAAGCGGAACTCATTCTAGTGGCACCGTACTGGCCTCGTCGAGAGTGGTTCGCAGATTTGAGAGATCGCTCGATCGATCAACCATGGAAGTTACCAGTAGGCAGACGGGATCTGAGTCGGAGCAATTTATCATCCAAATCCAGACTGGCTCCAGTTGACCGTCTAGCGCTTGAACGGATTCGTCTCTTGAAAGAACAGTTACCACATGACGTCATAGACACCATTCAAGCAGCCAGACAACCAGCAACAGTCTGCATTTATAATGCATCCTGGAATAGGTTCACTGTGGGCAGTTGATCAACATACAGATCCTACCTCGGCATCAGTACAGGACGTTCTTAAGTTTCTACAATCTGGATTCGATAAAGGACTAGCGCCGGCTACTCTCAGACGTCAGGTGGCCACGTTGGTCACAGTCTTCATACTGACAGGGGGCATTCACTGTGTCAAGAGCCTAGAATTCGATCATTTTTACATGGTGCTGTAAATTTAAGACCACCAACAGTACACAGATATCCAACTTGGGATCTCAATTTAGTATTACAGTCATTTACAGTAGAACCCTATGAACCTATCAAGGAAACAACGTTAAGACATCTTACAATGAAACTAGCATTTCTGTTAGCTGTTACGTCGGCTAGAAGGGTATCTGAATTGGCGGCATTGTCTATTCGTCAAGATCTTTGTATTTTCTTTCCGGACAGAGTGGTCATGAAGCTGGATCCGGTATTTGTTCCAAAAATTAATTCCTTATTTTACAGATCTCAAGACATTGTCCTACCTAATTTCTGCCCAAATCCTAGACATCCGTTAGAAAAAAGGTGGCATACATTAGATCAGTGGTTCTCAACCTTCCTAATGCCGCGACCCTTTAATACAGTTCCTCATGTTGTGGTGACCCCCAACCAGGGGTGGGTTCTAAATTTTTTTACTACCGGTTCTGTGGACGTGGCTTATTTTGTGGGCGTGGCTTGGAGGTCATGTGACTGGGTGGGCATGGCTAGCTGGTCATGTGACCGAGCGGCCATGGCTATGTTTATAGGGAGTACTCTAATTTCCCTTCGCTTCCTTCATCCCTCTCTATTGCTGTATCCTTTTATGCATATGGACTACTCAGAGGGCTGAAAAAAGTCATTTCTGACAGGTCCTCACACTTTTGACTGATCCTCACACTTATGACCATCCTCACATTTATGCGTGTGCAGCATTCTTAACAACCATGTCACTCATTTCACAACTGCTTCTTTTCACCATGGTAATAAGATAGGGCAAAAAACGTAAAATGTGAGGATAGTCATAAATTCGAGATCTGGTCAAAAGTGCGAGGACAGTCAAAAATAACTTTTTCAGCCCTCTGAGTAGTCCATGTGCACAAAAGGACTACCCAGAGGGCTGAAAAAAGTGATTTCTGACAGGTCCTCACACTTCTGACCAGTCTTCGCACTTATGACTGGTCATCATTTATGCCCATTGTAGCATTCTTAACAACCAGGTCACTCATTTCACAACTGCTTCTCTTCACCATGGTGACAAGATAGGGCAAAAACGTAAAATGTGAGGACAGTCGTAAGTTCGAGGACTGGTCAAAAGTGCGAGGACCAGTCAGAAATAACTTTTTCAGCCTTCTGAGTAGTCCATATGCATAAAAGGATACAGCAATAGAGAGGGATGAAGGAAGGGAAGGGAAATTAGAGTAGGAGTGAGGGTAAGAGAGGGAGGAAGAGAGGAGGAGAAGGAGAAAGGAAGAGGAAGTAGGGAGGAGAAGAAGAGGGGGAGGAAGAGAAAGTAAGAAGGAAAGAAAAGAGAGAGGTGGTAGGTTTGAGGAGAAAGATTGCTGTACAATAAAAAAGATGAAAGGGAAGAAAGCCAACCCCAAACAAATATAAAGATATTAAGATAAAGAATGAATTGTTAAACTTTAAAGAATAAAAGAGAACAAATATGAATAAATAACAATAATTAGAAACACACATACAAACATACAATGTATTTTCTTTGAACAGAGTGTTTGGCCGGTTCACAAATTTAAACAGTGTTTAGTCATTTCAATTAAATTTACAATTTCTGTATTTCCTTTTTGCCATATTTATTCCTCATCTATTTTTGTAAAAAACCAATATTATCCTTCATCTTCATCTCTAATCTTAATCAAATTCAATTTTTCCCTTCTATTCTATATTATACCCCTTCCCATTGTCATCTATTTTTATATCCATCCTCACATTGGTTAATTATGTAATATTATAGTTGTTTAATATAAATTCAACATTTTAATATAAATCAATTAGTTGTATAACTACCTTTTTTGTATATTAATTAATATGAACATGAATATTCCAATTATTTCCATGCAATCCAATTTCTTACAAATCAATTAATTATATTTACCAATAATAATAAACCAAATAATTTCCCCCATATATTCCTCCAAACCACAACTTAACCATTTCTGCTTTCAACACAATATACAATTAATAGTATCTCAATTATTACAATTCCCTAGTTAAATAGAGCTTTTTTTCTTTTGTGTTTTAAAATCTTGAACTCTCCTCTTTTTCCCTAAATTTCCCATTGTTTGCACCTACCTTTTTTTGTGAGGAAAAAGAAAAGAAATCTGCCTGCCTAATTTTCCAACGTTGCAGCAACAGCAAAGCAGTTTCAGTTTCGTTTTTCAGCATAGCTAGGGGGAAAAAAATCTGCTCCAGCAAGCAGCAAGCCCTGAGCAAAACAGCTGAGAGCAAATCAGCTGAGGGTCGGGAGCCGATCTAATCAAGGGCTAATTTGCCTATGCTAAGCTCCACGGGCCAATAAAATTACAAAAAAACACCGAACCATTTGTTAAATTGCTGGCTCGCCTGCCCCTCGCCCACAACTATTTATTGGCAATAAATAGTGATGCGGAGGGACGGGGCGAGCCACCAATTTAACAAAGCCCCGCGGCAAGAATTTAAACAGTTTTTTTTCCTCTAGCCATCAGCTGGGACTCAGGAGGCAGCAATAGATTGAGAGTGGGAGGGGTAAGCGAACGGCCGGCGATCCAACAGAGCAGAGAGTGAGGGTGAGTGAAGGCGTGGGGGGGGCGAGAGAGGGCTTTGGTGACCCCTGTGAAATGGCCGTTCGACCCCCAAAGGGGTCGCGACCCCCAGGTTGAGAACCGCTGCTCTAGACTTCATTACTGATTTACCCCTCATCCAAGATTTCATAGTTGCATTAGTGGTGGTAGATCTTTTCTAATTCTGTCTCCATGTTTCAGCAACTGCCGCCTGGTTCAGTAGCTGCTTCAGAAACAGGGGAGAAAGTTTTCATTGAGATAGCCTCACTGACTCCTTTATGAAGTTCTCATGAGAACTCAGACTTCAAAAAGACTATATAGGAGAGAACAGCTTTGAAGAGCCTATGGAGGAGGGATGGGGCCGTGCTGGAGGGTGGAGTGATGTAGGAGGTGAGCAGGGTTAGCCTGAGAATGGGATTAGGTTTGTCATTAATTTGGAATTGCTATGCTCCCATAAGAGATCCAAGTCCAGCCCCCCATGAATTCTATTAACCCTTGTGTAGCGCCAATTTGGCTTGATGGTTACTATATCAGATTCTTGTATATAGGTTGCATATACTAAACTTTACTGCTTTGAACTCAACTCCTGTTCCTGGTTACTTGTACTTGTCAATGACCTTTATTTAGTAACGGATAAATTATTAGAATTTGAACTATACATGGCTGCTATTATGCCCTTTTTTGACCCTACTGTTAAGATTTTGTATATGTGCAGACTTTTTTTGCCTTTGGAGAGCGCTAATTCGATATATTCAATGTAATGTGAAACTTATTTATATTCTACTCTTATTTAATTACAGAAAAAATACTTTAGCAGAATTTAAAAGTTGCTGCATATGTATGTGTGTATGTATGTATATTTGTATGTATGTGTTTGGTTGTAGGGTCACATTTCTGTATTCTGCTCATCTAGTTTAAATAGGAAAACTATTAATGCCTGCTGTAATGAGAGGTTTAGTTATTAGCTGGCTTTTCAATATGATGCTGATTATAGCTGTGAGAGAATGAATGGTCCAAGGTCATTTAGTTGTATTCCCTGCCTAAGAGATAATTAGAACTTGATTTTCCCCATTCCTAGTCCAGCATCCTAACCATTACAGTACTGGCTCCCTAGGAGTGAAATTTATATAATCATTATATTAAATAGGTTCTAAAGGGTTGTTCGTACAGCTTGAAAACTGAAAACAAAGACTTAGGTTAAACTTCTTGGAATACAAAAAATTTATTGGATAGTTTTGAAGGTGAAAAATATAGTGCTTTATTATGTATTAAAATGTTTTCAAAGTTTGGAATGAAATATTTATTATTTGTTTTTGAAAAGATTATATAACCAACACAATGAATGCAACAAAACAATTAAAACAAAAAACAATTGACCGCTCATCTCCGGGAACAAGGAAGAAAGGAGGAAAGTATAGGAGATACGAAGCTAACTCAATGGTTTTAATGCCTGCAATTCCCAAAGAAACCATTACACAGTATTCTCTAGGTCTTACCTCAGGAAACAAAGATAGAATGTTTGATGAAATGGATATGCTTAGGAATATTACAACACATCTAAATGAGGTAGGTTAATCATTAACATTGTTTATTATTCAATTTCTCCCCTTTGTTTGTATGCAATTGAATCAAGGCAGTGAATGTACCTACAGCATCTTACTTTACTCACAAGTACAACTCTATAAATAGATATCCCTTTTTGAAAATTAATGTTGTACTTTTTCAAGAAATCTAAGGGAATTAAATATCAGAGAAGCATGTATTTAGATAAATGTGTTATTCAGGATAGCTAAACAAAAGATTATGATTTTAAGGAGGCTCCATTTATTTGTGGAGTTTGTGAAGCCTTCTTAAAAACCAGGAAAAACATTTGCCCTATAGTCTTGCAACAAATGCTACTTGCTAGGAGAAGAGCATGAGGTTGCCATGGTTGACTGGTTGCTTCTAAAAGAAAGCTGAGCATCATATAGCATTGGCCAAGCTCCTCTGCAAAAAATATAAAGGTAAATTGGATGCTGCTGGGCCCTGGAATTAAGTGAATAGTGGGCTGAATCCTACAAGTTCTTTGGGTGGCTGGATTTGAAGTAAGCCGCAACCTACCAGCTTTAACTGTTCTCCATGTGTCAGCCACTTCTGCTGACCAGATATAGATTTCATTGCTTGGCTTAATAGTGAGCTTGGTAGCAGGACAAGGCTTAGAAAATCCTGAGGGAAAGAGGAAGCCTTGGGAAAGCTCTTGGATTGCCAGATGTGAAATAGGTCTTGGCCTATAGGCTGTAACTGCCTTTCATGTGCTGGTTGCTTCTGTTGACTGGCTTCATGCATAGGCCTGTGGAACCCTGAGGGGCAGGAAACAGAGCACAGGATGCTTCAGAGATGACAAAGCTTTGGGAGGCCCAGAGAGGTTTGTTGGAGTGTGATAGGTTCTGGGCATGTGGTAGGCCTCCAAGGGCTTCCCCCACCCCCATGGCATCCCATGTCCCACACATTTGTTTAATGATTACATTGGGGAGAGCAGAGAGCAGAGATAAGGGGTTGTTATATGAAATGCTTCACTTAACAGCCATCGTGACATGTGACTGTAATGGGCAGGTTCCATTATGGTCATAAGTTGAGGACTACCTGTATATTTAAAAACACATTGTAGAAGACGCACGTATTTACATAATAAAGATCAGTGTATGCTTAGGTTTGATTAATGGATTTTTCTCTTAGAATGAACAATATGACTTTAACAATTAAAAGGATTTGCCAACTTATTTAATACAAATATTCTTTTTGCTGAATCTTCATTTTCTTGCTAAAATCCAACAACTATCCCTGCAGATTGAGAGTTATTATGTATTACTTGTTAAATTCATTTGCTACCTACCTCAAAATGGGGCCATTCTAGGTGGCTTATAACAATAAAAGTAAGAAATGAAAAGAGTAAATAGAACAGAAGTAAAATAACAGAACAATAAAATAAATAATAAAAAATAAAATTGAAGAGAATGTTTGAACAATGTAGTTTATGACTACTATATTGAAAAGTCATCTTTGGATTCTAATCAAGAATGCAGCAAATAATTGGAAAGTAAACCACATACTTGACTAATGGCAATTACTTAGTTTAATGTACATTTTCAGAATGTTTTATCTCTCTAATGTAAAGGAAGATCACAGCAGATGACACTATGTAGCTGGTCTGAAAAAAAGAAATGGATGGTTAAATGGATTGGAATTCTTTGAAAATCCCATAGTTGTAACTCAGGGATGTCAAACTCGTCTCGTCACGGTGGCATCACATGACGTATTGAGACTTTTTCGCCCTTAACTAAACTGGGCGTGAGCATGGCCAGCGTGTGACGCATCCTGTCTGTGGGCAGGGAGTTTGACACCCCTATTGTAAGTGAACTGAATAATTGAAAAGGGGATTTAAAAAAGAAGAAGAAGAAGAAGCATGGAGCTTCATTATTTGAAGGATTAACTCACTCAGTGACATCTAACCATCCCATATGGGCCAGCAAAAAAGCTTTTTTGTAGGTCCCATCTAAAGAGTATTATCTCAAAAAGAGGGTAATTGTACTGTTTGTGAATGATAGTGGTCTCCTGATGACTAAATTAACATTGTGTTGTTCTAATGTTTTGTTTATGTGGTGATTTCATTCTGATTCTTTTGGTATTGTTTATGTTTTAATTGTAAGCTATCTAGAGTCACAAAGGTAAGATTTTTGTATAAATTAAGTAAAGTAAATGCTAAGTACCCTTGGATCATTGTCAGGAAAACCTGATATATATATTTTGTCATCAGTGATCAACCTTGACTTGAGGCAGTCTTTTCTTTTATAATGTTATAAGTTCTGAAAACTACAGGTTGTTGAACACAAATGCATAAAAGTTACTAAAACTAAAGGAAAAAAAAGATGTCTATCTTAGATAAGACTTAACAATCTAGATTTCTAACATTAGGAAAATAGGAAGCATTGCCAATGAGAGATTAGAACATTATTTGGATTTTTTTGCAGATTGTACATACAATGGAAGGTGTCTACATAAAGGAAGGTGAAGTTAAAGAAAGTAAAGAAGAGGAGGAGGAGGAGGAAGAAGAACTACCTGTAAGTAACATTACATGCTGTTTAAATAGGTCTACAATGAGTGATGTTGGTTTTAGACTAAACACATATTAATGAGCAGGGGGAAAAGATATAATACAGGTAGTTCTTGTTTAACTATCACAATTGAGACCAGTACCTTGGTCATTATGTGTGAATGCTAAGTGAAACCACACTTTTGCTTATGATGTTATTTGATCTTTCCTTTGTTATATCTGCAAAGGTTGTAAGTTAGAGGATTGGTGGCAAAAGTACTTTTTCATCACTATTGAAGGGTTACTATTAAATTGTCAGTTGGTAAATGAGGACCAGTAATAGTTTGTTCTGAATTATTATGTTGTGAAACGCATAACTACTAGTAATGTTAGGTTCCTTGGCTTTGACCACTTACAATCTAAATTCTGGGCTCTATTGTGCTCATATTGTGCTCAAATTGCCAATATATGCTGGATCGTGGAGAAAGCTAGGGAGTTCCAGAAAAACATCTACTTCTGCTTCATTGGCTATGCTAAAGCATTTGATTGTGTGAATCACAACAAATTGTGGCAAGTTCTTAAAGAGATGGGAGTAGCAGACCATCTTATTTGTCTCTTGAGAAACCTATATGCGGATCAAGAAGGAACAGTGAGAACTGGACACAGAACCACTGATTGGTTAAAAATTGGGAAAGGAGTCAGGCAAGACTGTATACTGTCGCCCTGCCTATTTAACTTATTTGCAGAGCACATCATGAGAAAGGTGGGGCTAGATGAATCAAAAGTTGGAATTAAGATTGCCGGGAGAAATATCAACAACCTCAGATATGCAGATGATACCCCTCTAATGGCAGAAAGTGAAGAGGAAATAAAGAGCCTCTTGATGAGGGTGAAGAAGGAGAGTGCAGAAGTTGGCTTGAAACTCAACATTAAGAAAATTAAGATCATGGCATCCAGCCCTCTCAATTCCTGGCAAATAGATGGAGAAGAAATGGAGGTAGTGACAGATTTTATTTTCCTGAAATCCAAGATCACCGCAGATGGGGACTGCAGCCAAGAAATTAAAAGACACTTTCTCCTGGGGAGAAAAGCTATGGCAAATCTAGATAGCATACTAAAAAGCAGAGACATCACCCTGCCAACAAAAGTGTGTATAGTGAAGGCTATGGTTTTCCCAGTTGCAATGTATGGCTGTGAAAGTTGGACCATAAGAAAGGCTGAGTGCCAAAGAATTGAGGCCTTTGAACTCTGGTGCTGGAGAAGACTCCTGCAAGTCCCTTGGACTGCAAGGTGATCAAACCGGTCAGTCCTAGAGGAGATGAAACCTGACTGCTCTTTAGAAGGCCAGTTCCAGAACATGAAACTCAAATACTTTGGCCACTTTATGAGAAAGAAGGACTCACTGGAGAAAAGCCTAATGCTGGGAAAGATTGAGGGAAAAAGAAGGGGACAGCAGAGAACGAGGTGGCTGGATGAGTCACTGAAGCAGTAGGTGTGAGCTTAAATGGACTCTGGGGGATGGTAGAGGACAGGAAGGCCTGGAGGAACATTGTCCATGGGGTCCCGATGGGTCAGACACAACTTCGCAATTAAGAACAACAACAAATTGTACTCATAAATTGGAAACTACCTGTACTGCCATAGGCTTTATGTGAGGGTATTCTTGAAGACAATTGAGAAGCTATAACTGGTGTATAATATAGCAACCAGTTTTCGCACTGGTTTAGCAGTATAATACTTGTTCTACAGGAACTGTATATATTACCAGTAGAACTCAACCTTCAAGTGAATACTTATAAAACCTCTTAGATTAGATCCTTATTATCAGCAGCATTGTTTTCTTCATGTGGAATCTACCTAATCTACATGTGCTAAGTGAGATGATTCTTTGCTAGCTTCCTAAAAAAAAAATCAGGTGGTCTGGAGTCTAGAAATTAAACTCATCAGCCCCTATGAAGCAATTTCCCCCTAAGTTTAATAATGTCTTTACTTTGATGATGTTTCAGAAAGTGATGAAAATAGTTTTTATTAAGGGGCATTTTAACTTGTATGATGGCAGCTTTGCTTTTATCTACAGTTTTTATATATTCTGTTTATTATTTGGCTTTATGAATAGCTTTGTATTTTATTATTGTTTTCTCTGTTGTAAAGCCCCTAGAATCAAAGGAATATACAACACATAAATTTTAGTAAATAAAAGTATGCCAGTTTGCTCACTGGAACCTACCATTTCAGTTTACATAGGGTAGTATCCTAGATAATATTTTCATTCTTGATTTATATAAGTAAATGCTGTTGTTACTTCGTCTAAATGATAAAACTTGTACATTTTAAAAATAAGAATTGTAATAATATTATTACAAGTATCAGAAATAGTTTTCCCTAGCAATATTTCTAAAATACTGTATGCATATTTTCTCATTGGAAGGAAGATTATGAAGATATGACTTCTTTCCTGATATGTTGTTCACAACTTAGGACACAGTTGGAAAATGCACTTCGTGAAGAAAAGCAAGTATGTATCATGTTTATTGTACTGCATAAGTGGAAGGTTTTATTTACTGTTAATTGTCATGTTTTGTTATACTTGAAAAAATTCAGCTATAGTGTAAATTACCCTTTTCTTTGGAAATTTAGAATAGATATGGAAAGATGTTTCTCTGCCTTTAAAGGCATAGCTGCCTAAAAATTCAGTTATATCAAGGACAATTTCAGTGCTACAGAACTGTCATCAGTTGTATTTTTGCTAGCTGTAGGCTCTAAAATGAGCAGCCTTCTGTTTCAATAGAGTGGTAAGCGCATGGTAAATCCCCTCCTCCATTGCAAAAATACAAAGATCAACCAAAAAATATAGTAAGAGAAAACTTTTTCAGCTCAAGCTGACATAAGGAGGTATGATTTGGAAACCTAAACATTTCTCACTTTATTATTTTGTATTTAAATTGTTATATAATAAAATAGATGGTGATTTATAATATATATTTTCTTTCTTAGATATTAGAGTCATTGCTTAAGGTAAGAAACTTTTGATATGTATCTTTATGTTTTATTTTGTAAAAATGTAATCTGTTAATATCTAATTTTATTTTATTTTATGTTTTTCTCAAGTGGTTTGAAAAGGAGGTCCATGAGATGGAAGAGGTAAACCTAGAATTTTGATTGTTAAGGTCTAACACAAACTATTTAGAAATATGTGGTAACCATATGAATTGTTTCTCTATATATTCTGCTGTTTCTTCTTTATGTTTAATTTTAGAATATAAATAAAAGGACACAATATAAGGCTTATTCTTTCTTACTTGAGCAGGTTCAATAGACATTCGGGATTAATCTTAATATAATTCAAAGTGTTTCTATAATAATAGCTAATACCAATATATTAAAAGTTCTCAAAACAAAAAAGATCTTTGAATTATTTTCATTGAAATCTTTTGCAATTATTTTCTTTTCGATACTGGCCAAATTCAGTATTTTTCTCTCATTTAATTGCCTTCAATTCTCAGAGGACAAAATAAATTTGAATATTCCCAGATTCCATATTTGAAAGATGGAGGTTGAAATCCCCCAACAATAGTAATTGATATTCCAACACTAATTGAATGATGAGATCAGGAAGGGATTCCTAATATGTCCCTGCACTCCAGCGTGAGATGCAAGTATTCACAACTAAATACTGGTTTATAGGCAAAATTATCACCCTTACCCTTACCAACCTTGGCTGCTGTAGGATCTTAGACCCAGGAAGTCAAATCTTTGTAAGGATCATATCCTTTTTCTCACCCAATTAGATTTCAAGAATATGCCAGGTTAATCTACCCATCTACTATTAGGTTGTAAATGAATGTGCTTTATTACATACAGATCTATTTTTCTTTAGTTCCTGAAAGTGGGATCAGCAACAAATTGTGGGCATCTCTTTTCTTTCAAATCCACCATCCTTGTCCCTTGATTCATAGCCCTCAAAACAATTTCTTAGTATTTGGCTACAATTCACTGAAACTCCCAACCCTGGACCATCAATCGGCCAAATTCCACTCTTTCTAACTCACTTATTCCTAGGGCTACTTTAGCTAGTACATCAGCTCTTCTTTCTACTGTTATACATAAACCACATATTCCCAGAGACTTAATAATGTTCTTTGCCATCATATATTTTTGTTCTTCTTCATTACTCCAGTGTCCCTTTCTCACTAATAACCCGATAAAAATCTTTTTTCTTTCCCCACCTATCACTTCTTGCTGCTCCTGTCTCCCATTGAATACAACACTTGTGTCTAGTTGCAATTGTAATGACCAAACAGACATCAACAAATTTAGACAGAAATTTTTCTCCAGGACTTTTCTACACCTACAGCATGGAAAATACACAACATTATGCTGGAGCATCCAAAGTTGCTCTGTGCTACTTCAGGCCATCACCAAAGGATTTTGAAACTGACAATCTTCTTGCATGTAATTTGATTTATCACAATTGTAGTGATAGTACCTTTTCCAACTGCAGTGGGATGCTCTGGTGGTCTCCATTATCCCACCTCTCTGATTGCCTATTACAGTAGAAAACAATCACATTCCATAAAAATAACGACCTGTTTTTTATCCCGTTTTTTATTTATTATATTTAGCTTGAGACATCCTGGCTCTCAATTGAAGCCATTCCAAAATAACATTTTCCCACTTCATGTTAGTCTCCTTCTCATTATTAGTAAAGTATATTTTCTAGTTCATTTTAAGAAATTGGTCTGTTTATGTTTGGTGGGTTGGTAGGTGGTTTATTAAAAATGCATTAATTTCCTTTCAGGTAAATGCAATATTTTAATTATTATTATATATAATTAAAAGTATGAAAGTTTGTTTTTACATTATAAGTAGTCCTTGATTTATGACCACAGTTGAGTTCAACATTTCTATAGCTAAGTGAGAAATTTGTTAAGTGAGTTTTGCTCCATTTTATGACTTTTTTTGCCACAGTTAAGAGAATCACTACAGTTGTTAAGTTAGTAACATGGTTTTTAAATGAATCTGGCTTCTCTATTGACTTTGCTTGTCAGAAGGTTGCAAAATGTGATCACATGGTCTCGGGACACTGCAACTGTTATAAATATGAGTCAATTGACACGCGGCTGAATTTTGATCATGTGATCATGGAGGTGTTGCAATGGTCATAAGTATGAAAACCAGTCATAAATCACTTTTTTCAGTGCTGTTGTAATTTCTAACAGTCACTAAACAAACAGTTGTACATCGAGGACTACCTTTATATGTTTTACAATAGCTTAATATTGTATAGTTAGTTCTGCTATAATGATGTACAAAATACATTATTTGAAACAGTGAATGTGTGCTTCTTTCGAGCTAATTGAGAAAATCTCTGTTAATATACAGCAGATTATGTTAATAGTTTGTTATCTAACTATATTTCAGTTAGGTGAGGAAGAAATTATCCCAGACTGGCAAGTTCCTCTAGCAGATAAAAGCATAACAAATAATATCAATCAGTTACTGAATCGCATTCAAAGACTTGAAGAACTAAAAGGCCGTGTTCAAGAACTACCGAAACTTATTCAGATTTCTTTACCTATATCTAAACAGTAAGAATACCATAAGAGTTATGTTTAAGAAATTATGATATCAATAATAATATATTTTTTATACAATTATAAAGATTATTAAAAAATAAACATTACATAGAAAGTACAATATTTTGTTTACTAGGCACTGCCATAGTATATTTCCTTCATAATTTAATTGTATAATTATTATATTACATTTTCTCTAATAAATAAATGCCTAATATAAATTGTTTTGTTCATTGTTTCTCTGACTTCTACAAGTAATAGGGAAATTAAAGGGAAGCACTGTTCTCTACAAGAATGAAAAGACCAATGATACATAGTTTGAAGGGTTTTTTTTACTAGATGTTGCTGAGGACATATGTAGAAAGCAATGATAGTAGTAATACATTCTCTATATGTCCTGTCTAAGCGCACGCGCGCGCGCGCACACACACGCACACACACACACACGCACACACACACACACACACACACGTTGTAAATACTTTATTAAGGCATTGCAAACCCCTAATGTTATTCCCTATGTCCCATCACAAGAAAGGTAAAGTCGCAATAAGTCTGAGTTTGCAAAAATCAAGGAACGAAGTGAAAGGCAAATGCAAAGTCCAAGGGAAAGGCACAAGTTCACAGGTTCACACACAAAGTCAAAGTTCAGGCATAGTCCAAAATCCAACCACAATAACTAAAGCCAAGGTCCAAGTTCAGAATCCAAGCCAAATCCAAGGTCCAATCACAAGGTCAGCAAACAAGGCATAGGTCTGGAATAATGAAAGCAGGAATCAAAACATTGGAGTACAAGCACTGCAGGAAACAGGTGGTTGTTTCCTACATTGCTTTGCTCCACACACCAGTTAAATAGCCGTCAGCCACTGTACCAGTGGTGGGTTGCTCCAGGTTCTGTCTGGTTCTTTAGAATCGGTAGTAAAAGCAGTGTGAGACTCTACCCACCCGCCCGGACGTCATAATTGATGATCTGTGCATGCATAGAAGCGCGCACCCTCCCATTGCGAACCGGTAGTAAAGGTAAGTAGAACCCACCCCTGCACTGCACCTCATTAGGAGGGGTAGCTTCTTTGCAAGTAGCCTTGCCAACCACTGGTATGCCTCCCTCCTTTTGGCCCTGCATGGCCTGGGATCTGTGAAGGAGGCAGTTCCTGATCCCAACTAACTGACTGCAGCTGCGCCCCTTCTCCGCCTTGTGCTTCTCACTGGTCATCTGAGCTTCTTGGCTGCAGCTGCATCTCTTCTGTCTCCTTTTCAGCCAGGTTCATCCAATTGCCTCTCTGACAGCATTTCTGAAGTTCCTGGCCTCTCTTCCACTCCTCCCATCCACTCCTGGTACACAGCCAGGAGCTTGTGTTGTCCCACTCACTCACTCACACACACATACATGAAACCATAGTTTAGTGGGTTTACACAAGCAGACTAATGCTAATCCACAGAGCAATGGCCAATGAGTCCACAAGGAACTTGAAAGTTTCCCAATCAAAATAAACCCACCAGGCAAAATTAAATCCACAATAAAAGAGGGTTCATGAGGCAAGAAGGGTAAAGAGTTCACAAGGCATGATCTGAGTAAAGGCATAGTGTCTAATGTAAAGAATCACAATGACCAGAAAACACATCTAGGAAATGAACACATTCCCAGCATTGCCTCCATCTGTCTGCTGTGTTAAATAGCCAGCTTGGTGCAGCCCATCAAGAAGGGTGAGGCTTTCTACTTGCGAGTAATCTGTCTGACCTTCACTGCTCCTGCCTTTTCTCTGCACTATGTTTTCTTGGATCAGGTGCAGAAGGCTGTTCCTCTTCCTCATCCCTAACTGGCTGTAGCTGCATGCTTTTTCCATCTGATGCCTCAGGGCTATCCTGCTGTAGCTGTGCTTCAGCCAAATCATTCTCAGGAGGTTGCTTGGAGCCACTGATCAATTCCCCTCCTGATGTGCCAGGAACTGGTTCATCCTCCCCCAAGTTGACATCTGAAGAGGTATCTGGGGAAGCATTTGGGAGAGGCATCACACTGATGCTGCACTGTGCCCCACTCTGAAGTCCTGGGAGCCAGTTTTCCCTGCTCTGAGGAAGCATAGCATAGCACAGCACAGCATAGTATATATAGCATAGTATGTATATTATAATATATACAGCAAATAATTCAAAAGTGATTTATAAAGTAACTCATATCCAAGAATTGAAAATAATTTGTGTAGCAACAGTATGATGATTAATAATTTTGACTGTATTCTTAGCTTATTTTTAAAACCACCATTAATCCCCAACAATCTGCAGTGATTTTACCATCACTAGCTATATATTGCCTGCATAAGGGTACACCCAGCTCAGGCAGGTTGCCACAAGGCATATATGGTTTCCCCCAAGATTTAAACATGCACAGCGCTAACCAGTAGCTGGAGTCACAGTTGAGATAATACTCAATAATAATAATAATCTTAAAATAATCACAAATAATCAGACATTTTCTCCTGTGCTTGTTCTTTCTCTTACAGTTACTCCTGCCCCGATTCCCAGAGATAATTAATTCCCTAAATATCCCTAAATAGTCTATATTAAATAGTATTTTCTGCATAGATTTATGTTCCTATAAACCAGATGTAGGCATTTTATGGCCTGAGGGCCACATCTGGCCCTTTAGCTGTCCCTATTTAGCCCATGGCAGCAGCAATGTCAGCAATAGGGTACCGGAGGCGGTGATGGGATAGTGTCAGTGGGGAGGGAGAAGGCATTGGTAGCTTTCCACAGCAGTCCCAGTTTCTCATATGGCCCCTTGGAAGTAATTGCCCACCCATGCTATAAATCAATTATATAAGTTTTCTTTATGACAGTATGCTTTAAGTCAGGGGTGTCAAACTTGCGGTCTATGGGCCGGATGTGTCATGTGCTGGCCATGGCCATCCCTGTTTTAGTGAAGGGGAAAAAGTCACGATAAATCACATGATGATAACATGACATGTGAGTTTGACACCCCTGCTCTAAGTAAGAAGCTTGTCAACTTTTTAGGTAGTGCAGGCAATGCAGGCACATAAAGCATGAGTACTAGCACTGCCTTTATTGAAGTTTATAATAACAGAATATTTGGAATTTAGAAGAGGTACTGGCAGTTCTTAATGGCTTTTCTAAACAATAGCAGAGTGAAGGCTGTTTGGATCTCAAGGTAAAATTCATTCTAGAGTGCAGGGCCCCTCTACAGAGAACAACTATTCACTATTCTGTCAGTTATCCAGTGAACTTCCAATGCTGAAATTAGCATTTCAGATTTTATTTCTAGTATTCCAGCTCTCTAATTTTCATATTGACTCTCACTTTTCATATTAACCCTGCTTTCAGTATTCTGAGAATTATATTTTGTGACATAATTATTTTTGAAAATAACAGTAGAAGGTAATGATTTTTTTATGAAGTAATGTCAAAAATAACCAAAAATTTTGTATATAATAGTAAGCACTATTTAACCCCTTTGTTATTTGGTGTTTGTTCTTATTTGATATTTGTTCTTAAAGCACTGAAAATGAATAATGTCTTTTACATAATATATATTCAAATTATTAACCCATTATATTATATTACTTATGTAATTATATTAATTACTTAAGTACTGAATATACTTACTTAAGGTATTATATTAACAAAATAGGATTTTGTACTTTTAACATAAATAAACTGTGACATGTAAAATTTATGTTTAGAACTTTGCTAAATGGACACTGAATTTATAAATCTAGATTTAATACTACCAATACTGTACATTTTGACAGGGAAAAGAAAAAAGCAGTAAGCCCAACACCTCCCACTCCAAAAGATCCAAAAAATATAATTGAAGGTAAGAATTCTGATTTATCATGGGTGTCAAGGCCTGCAAAAACAATTTTGAAAAATGAGTTTGGTTAATGTGGACAAAAGTGAAAATACTGGATAGTAAAGTTGGATAGGTCAAAATCAGAACTGACTGACTAGAGGCTTGGAAAATAATGGATAATTTGTAAAGAAATAGGTTTTATTCTGATGCATTTGAATCTTATATAAGTAATCCTCAAGTACTACAGTTCATTTAGTGATTTTCAACAGTCCCCCCCAAAGCTTTGAAACCTTGTTTCAAAGTTAGGAATTGTACAGGACTCCCCCAGTCATTTGCCCTTACGACCAATCACAGGGATGCTTCAGCACATCCACTTATCAATTCCCCCCTCCCCAAATCCTGTCATGCCAGGTCTCCAAAGGCACTGAGCCTGCTTTGCCTCCCCCCACCCTTGATTCCACACAATGCTCCTCCAGCCTTCACAATGCTCACTTACCTTATGAAGATCTGCAGAGCTCAGGAGACGGAGGAAGGAAGGTGACCAGGCCTGTCTTGAGAATTCCAAAGAGGTCTTGTTCTTTTCTCTTTTTTAAAAAAATGATTACTCTTTTATCATCAAAGATAAAATACAAAATAAAGAAAACAACACAAACAACAACAAAAAATATGTATACAAAAAAACAAACAAACCCCAAGTATCAAATACATCTAATTTTAAACGTTAGAAAAAATCCACCCTGGCTGAAGGCTGATACATAAAAAAATCTAATATACATTCCATTCCCCTTACATAATGGGTATACAAATAGTTATAAACTTTCCCATCTGTATTTAACAAAAATGCTATATTACATAAACAAATATCCCTTTTTTCATCCTCAGAACATGTTTTGAAACCTTTGCTGCTGTAATTCTCGGCAAAGGAGCTCTTCTCCCTCCCTCTACATCACTTCTTTACCTCTTAACTCTGCATTGTTTGTTCTCTGTGTGGTCAGAATCAGCTCAGATTTCAAAATGCACACTTCCTCCTTTGCCATGTTATTTCACAAAACACAGACTTTCCCTCATCATACTGTGATTGGATGGAAAAAGCCTTTCAGCCCACATTTTGACACCTGAACTGCCTCTGCGGACACAGAGAACAAACCAGAGGTGAAATGCTACCGGTTTGGGCCATTTCACTTGAACTGGTAGTAAAAAATGCTACTGGTTCGCTGAACCGGTGGTAAAAAAAGTAAAAAAAAAAAAGTTATGAAGATCAACTGAACGGCATGTGATCGCTGGAACTTTTTAAAAAACTTTTAAAAACATTTTTAACTACTGGTTCCGGAGAACCAGTAGTAAAAAAATGCTTTAAAAAGGTAAAAAAAAAAGGTTCTCTGGAACCGGTAGTTAAAATGCTTTTAAAAAGTTAAAAAAAAGGTTCCGATGATTGCGTGTCACAGCTGTGATCGTCGGAACCTTTTTTTTACCTTTTTAAAGCACTTTTTACTACCGGTTCCGGAGAACCTGTAGTAAAAATGCTTTAAAAAAGTTTTTAAAAAGGTTCCCAAGCTTGCACGCCACAGCTGATTCCCCCCTCCCCCGCTGTTCTACTTACCTTCCCAAGCCTCCTTTTGGTGCGTACTGTGCATGTGTGTGTGCAGCATGTGTTTGGTATGCATTGTGCATGCGTGCCAGTGGTAAACCGGTTCAGATTTCACCACTGGAACAAACTATACAGAGTTAAGATATAAAGAGGTGATTCAGAGGTAATAATATCTACATGTAAATGAATAAAATAGGTGAGGGTGGGCTCCTCTATGGTGTTCCAGAGACTACAAATACTTTTAGTATCTTCCAGAGAATTGAACTTTCATATTATAAAAAGTCATATATTAATGATTTTTGAAGTTAGAACACTACTTAAAGTTAGTTTCCTCTGCTGGTATCAAATAAAGAAACTGCAGTTGCTTTAACTGAACACCTTCAATGTCACCTTCAGTGTCACTGCAGTAACAGAGAAAGATGGAATTTGTGCCTCCTTGATATGTCAGAACATTATATAAACAACTCCCCATCCAGAGTATTCTGTGTTGCAAAAGTTTAGAAATGATAACCCTATTATTGGTTTATTTGTCCCTTTTCCTAGAAGTTCCTAGAATAAAACAAAAAGTTCCCAGTACTAAGAAATATTTCAGTAGAGTTCCCAGTACAAAGAATTATTTCAATAGAAACTTGGATTTTCTGGTATTTCTAACATGAATTGTTAGAATAACAGAATTCTCTTCATAAGGTATCTTTTATCAAGAGCATCTGAGAATCATTTGCTCAGTTATTAGATTCCTGACAACATATAAATAGAAAATTTAATATAATCAAATGTACTTGGAAGTTTTAGTCAGAGATATAGAAAAAAAGTTCGCTTTTATATTTTTAATGAATTAATTAAATATATTTGACAAATAATTTAACTAAATAGTTATAATAAACTTTGCTTTAGAACTTGCTGCAAGACATTTAACTGAAGATGTGATGAATATGGTACAGGTTTTCCAAGAAGATACAGGACAACCACGTAAGTGCTTCAAAATATAAAATGTTGTTAAAACATGAAAAAGCATAGAGGATATTTTAGGACAACTGTCTCAAATCAATGTCTTCTAAATTGTTATACTACAGATTTAGCTGACCTGATTTTTAACTATCAGAAATCTTTGTTTTCCAAAACATGGGAAATGCCAAATTAAGAAAATATATGTTAGATCATCATGCAATCTAGAGTATTTAATTTTGATGTCTAGAAATTTAACTTGGATTTAAATTAAGCTATGGAATTAAAAAAACTGAAATTAGGTTTTTTGAAAATTTAACATTAATAATACCCTAAGGTAAAATATACCAGACAGACTGTAATAAATACATTTATGCTTAAAAAACAGGGATAACTGGTAAAAACAATATGGATAAGTGTAAACGTAGTAAAAGCTGTATTATGTAAAAGATTAATTTCTTCATTTGTTATGCTTGACTCTGTTGTGTGATAGAGCCAAAATATTAAAAATGATAATTTAGTGTATCAGAAATATTAAATACAGGTAGTCCTTGTTTAGTGACTTCCTCATAGAATGCCATTCAAGTTATCATGGTGATGAAAAAGTAACTTTCGACCAATCCTTGCATTTATGGCCTTTGCAGACCTGTAAGGCATAAAGAAGATCTTTTACCTGGTCTTATCTGGTGGCGATGAGGGTGGCGAAGCGTGCTTACTTCTCTGCCCTTATCGCGTCCGCAGATAATCGGCCGGCCACCCTGTTCAGGGTATCCTGCTCCCTTTTGAACCAGGGAACGGGGGATGACCCAATATAGGGACGGGTCAAGTAATTTAGTGAACATCTACGGGATAAGATTGCTCAGATTCGGGATGGACTGGAGTCTGACTGGACAGGGTCGGTGGGGGAGGTGGTGACAGGTCTGGTGATTTGGGACGAGTTTGATCCTGCTACTCCCGAAAAAGTGGACAGGATCATGGCGAAGCTGAGTACTACCAAGTGTGTGTTGGACCCGTGTCCCTCCTGGCTCGTTTATTCGGCCCGGGAGGTTACACATGGCTGGATCCAGGCAGTGATAACTGCTTCTTTGAGTGAGGGGAGTTTCCTGGCTGCCCTGAAGGAGGCGATGGTGAGACCCCTCCTCAAGAAGCCCAACCTGGATCCAGCTATTCTGAATAACTTTTGTCCTGTCGCCAACCTTCGCTTCATCGCGAAGGTTGTTGAGAGCATGGTGGCACATCAGCTCCCATTGGTCCTGGATAAAACATTATATCTGGACCTGTACCAGTCGGGTTTCAGGCCCTGGTACAGCACGGAGACGGCATTGGTCGTGCTGGTGGATGATCTCTGGAGGGCTCGGGACAAAGGTTATTCCTCTGTCCTGGTCCTATTAGATCTCTCGGCGGCTTTTGATACCATCGACCATGGTATCCTGCTGCGGCGCCTTGAGGGGTTGGGAGTGGGAGGCACTGTTTTAGGGTGGTTCTCCTTCTACCTCTCTGGGCGTTCGCAAGCGGTGTTGGGGGGGGCAGAGGTCTGCCTGGAGGCCCCTTACATGTGGGGTCCCTCAGGGGTCAGTCCTCTCTCCCCTTTTGTTCAACATCTACATGAAGCCGCTGTCGGAGATTATCCGTGGTTTCGGGGTGAGGTATCATCAGTATGCTGATGATACACAACTTTTTATATCCACCCCGAATCAACCCCAGTGATATCCTCGACGTGATGTCCCGGTGCCTGGAAGCAGTGCAGCTCTGGATGGGGAGGAACAGGTTTCAGCTCAACCCTGCCAAGACAGAGTGGCTGTGGGTAGTGGCATCTCGGTTCCGGGAGAATATTACATCATTGGCTATAGGGGGTGAGGTGTTGCCCCCTGTAGAAAGGGCGCGCAATTTAGGCGTCCTCCTGGATTCACAGTTGACTCTGGACGATCATGTAACGACTGTGTCCAGGGGGGCATTTGCGCAGATTCATCTGGTGCGCCAGTTGCGCCCCTACCTGGACCGCAATAACTTACGCACAGTCACTCATGCGCTCGTCACCTCCCGGATCGACTATTGCAATGCTCTCTACATGGGGCTGCCCTTGAAGACCATTCGGAGACTTCAGCTGGTGCAGAATGCGGCTGCGCGGGTAGTGATGGGAGTGTCCCGACACTCTCATGTTACACCCCTCCTGCGGGACCAGCATTGCCCTCCGGGTGAAATTCAAGGTGCTGGTAATTACCTATAAAACCCTACATGGTTTAGGCCCAGGATACCTGGCGGATCATCTGCGGCCAGCGACAGCTTCCAATCGCCCGGTGCATTCTCACAGGGAGGGCCTCCTTGGGGTCCTGTCGGCCAGAGAGTGTCGACTGGTGACTCCCAGGGAGCGGACCTTCCTGTGGGCGCGCCTACTCTGTGGAATCAGCTCCCCCTGGAGCTCCGGGTGACTCCTGACCTTCGCTCCTTTTGCCGTGATCTTAAAACATGGCTATTTGGCCTGGCCGGATTGGACTGAAGGGGTTTTTTAATGTGATTTTAAAGGGTTTTTATATCTGTTATATTTTATAATTGAATTTGTGTATTTATTGTTGTGAGCCACCCTGAGTCCTTTGAGAGGGCGGCATACAAGCCCAAATAATAAATAAATAAAATAAATAAAGAAACTAAAGTATGATCATAAGCACAATCTGTTTTTTTAAAAAAATATTCGAATTTCCCCCCCCACTTCCTAATATAACTTTTTATTATTTTTTCTAAAAACAAACAAACATTTAGTACATCTAAATGTTTAGATGGGGAAGGGGGTCTCTGGGGAGATGGAGAGCCGAAATATTGTGGTTATGACTGGGAGAGGTAGATATGATGGGAGCCGAGGGGTCGGCCGCTCTCGGGGAAATAGGACTCGCTATGTCAAAGCAATTACTTGTTCTGGCCCCTCTGGTTTTGGTTCACAAGGCTCATCCCGTATACCTGGTGACTTGGGAAATCAGGGCCCTGGCCTCAGGCTGCTGCTATTTAATGCCAGATCTGTTGTTAATAAAGCCCCCCTCGTTCGGGATTTAATCCTGGAGGAGAGGGCTTACCTGGCATGCATAACAGAGACCTGGCTGGGCCAGGAGGGGGGTGTTCCCCTCTCAGAGATGTGCCCAGACAGGTTTCAGATACTGCATCAGCCGCGACTCCAGGGAAGGGGTGGAGGAGTGGCAGTCATTGTCCCTAAGAGTCTTTGTCCTTGCTGGATCCCTGCCCCGGAGATTGTCAGATGTGAGTCCCTTCTGTTAAGGTTAGACTCAAGGGTTCAGTTGGGTCTGTTGTTGACGTACCTGCCTCCCAGCTACGTTACAACATCCCTACCTGGGCTACTAGAGGCAGTAGCTGGGTTGGCGGTGAAGTTCCCCAGGCTCATGGTGCTGGGGGATTTTAACCTTCTGTCTCTGGGCGAACCCTCAGATGTGTCTCAGGAGTTCATGGCTTCCATGACAATCATGGATCTGACCCAAGTAGTTCAGGGTCTGACCCACGTTCGACTTGGTGTTTCTCTCGGGGCAGTGGAGACATGATCTGGAATTATGGGATATAGATGTTTCTCCTTTGTCATGGTCATTTCCTGCTGAGGTTGGACTTTAGGACGCCACTCCTCCATCGCAGGGAGGCGGAGCTGATTAAGTGGTTCCGCCCCAGGTGCCTAATGGACCCTATAGGGTTCCAGAAGGAGCTTGGGGAGATATCTGACTCCCTTGTGCACAGCCTGGCAGAGACCCTGATTATTGCCTGGAATAAGGCAGCATCTGGGGTACTGGACCGGATTGTGCCTTTGTGACCTCTCAAGAACAGTGGATCCAGGAAAGCTCCCTGGTTTACCGAGGAGCTCCGGGAGATGAAGCGCCAGAAGAGACGTCTAAAGTGGCGCTGGAGGACCAGTAAATATGAATCTGACCAAACACTCTTAAGAGCCTTTATTAGGACTTACTTAGTGGCGATATGGTCGGCAAAATGTTTGCATTTTTCTGCACTTATTGCATCCGCTGATTCTCGCCAGCTGCACTGTTTAGGGTGACTCGCTCTCTCCTTAATGTAGGGGGAGCGGAGGAGCCCTTACAGGGTAGAGCTGGGGAATTTGTGCAGTTTCTGTCGGATAAAGTCGCTCAGATTCGGATGGACCTGGACTCTGATTAGGCAATTCTGACTGAGATGACAGGGGCAGGTCTTAGTCGTATTGTGTGGGATGAATTTGAGCCTGTGACTCCTGAGGAAGTGGACAAGGCTGTGGGTGCAATGAGTTCCTCCACTTGTTTGTTGGACCTGTGCCCCTCCTGGCTGGTTTCGGCCAGCAGAGAGGTGACACGAGGCAGGCTTCTGACTTTAGTTAACGCTTCCTTAAGGGAGGGGTCTTTTCCGCAACCATTAAAAGAAGCCTTCCTTGGACCCAGCAGAATTAAAAAATTTTCGTCCAGTCTCCAACTTACCTTTTGTGGGGAAAGTTGTAGAGAAGGTGGCACTTCAGCTCCTACGGACATTGGATGAAACGAATTATCTGGACCCTCTTCAGTATGGCTTCAGACCTGGCTACAGCACGGAAACTGCTTTGGTCGTGCTGATGGACAATCTCTGGCGAGCCCGTGATGGGGGTCATTCCTCTATCGTGGTGCTACTTGATCTCTCAGCAGCTTTCAATACCATTGACCATGGTATCCTACTAGACTGACTAAGGGAGTTGGGAGAGGGTAGCACCGTGTTACAGTGGTTCTCCTCTTATCTCTCTGGTTGGTCTCAGTCGGTGTTGATAGGAGGACAGAAGTCGACTCCGAGGGCCCTTGTTTATGGGGTGCCTCAGGGCTCAGTCCTCTCTCCCCTTCTATTCAACATCTACCTGAAACCGTTGGGGGAGATCATCTGATGATACGGGGTGAGATATCAGCAGTATGCCGATGATACCCAGCAGTATATCTCTACCCCGCATCATTTCAGTGAAGCAGTGGATGTGATGTGCCAGTGCCTGAAGGCTGTGAGAGTCTGGATGGGAGTTAACAGGCTCAGACTTA